TTGGCCTGGCTTGCTGCTGATTGCAGAGCCAGCCTGTGAGAGCATGCAGATGAGAAACAAGCCTCAGATTGCTAAAGCACCCAACCAAACATCCCCTTCCCATGGAAAAATGCCTCACTAGCAGCTCCTCCAACAGCAGGGATGTGCTAACTCAATGCAGACGATGTTTAGCTGAACAAAAATGCATTCCCAACAAATTCAGGTCTTTCCCAGATCTCTGCTGGAAAACCATTTCCTTGAGAAATTCTGTAAAATCAGTTTGTCTGTGACACCAAATGGGGGAAAAGCCCACACTGCCTAGTGTTTGTCCACTCTGGGATAGCCCTGGACACCATGGGTCAGCACGAGAGGCACCGGGAAGGAGGGAAAACACCTTTTTCAACCCAGGGCATCTGCCAGTGTCACTCCAAACCCAGAGGTGATCCTGACTGCAGCTTGTGACACTCCCTAAGAGACACCAGGATACCCCACAGTGATGGGTGGCCCTGGACTTTGGTGTCCCTCATGGGTGCTTAGAGCCACAGCAGCCACCAAGGGTGTGTGGTAGGGACACACATTTGTAGGGGAATGTCTGGCGCAGTGCTGTGAAAACCTTTCATAAGGCATCAAAATCAAGATGCTTTGTGTCAGGTTGGCACAGAACTGTGCTGCAGAATAAAGCACTTGAAATGATTAATTTTATTTGACTGTGTATCCAGCAGGATCCTGCCTGAAGCCTGGGTCCTGCCCATTGTGTCATCCAACCTGTGAGTGACAGCTCACAGCCCCAGGTCTGGGCTTTCATTTTCTTAAGTGAAATTCTGCCATAAAGCAAGAACAAAATTAAAATAACCATTACTTTGAATGTCCACATCTCTTTCTTTTTTATATCCCGAGATCAGGCATCTGATCTGAGAGGTAACAAGCTGCTGCATATTTCATTAAATGGATCAAGAAGAAAGATCCTTCTAATACTGTCACAGAAGGAGGGGCTGGGGAGAGACATGATCCTCCAGCATAAGGGAGATCTCCTCCTAGGAACATGGTCCTCAGGCTGTGGGACACCAGCACAAGGTAAGCCAGGCAGAGAGTGGCCAAAAGGCACCACAGGAGAAGACAGGAAAAGACTCAGCCAAAATGCTCCTTCTCAGCTTGCCTTGACCCAGGCTTCTTGCAAAACACCATGGGCCAAAGGATTCATGTTTCCAGGACAGCAGCTCTTTTCTGAAATTCCCTGTATGCCCAAGCCATGTGCAAGTCCAGCACATAATAATTAAAAAAATAATAATAAAAAGGAAGAAGAAATTGAGCTGGCAGCCTCCCTTCCTGCAGTGCCACAGCCAGATACGCTCCAAGCCCTGTTGTGTAAGGGCTGTGCCCACCCCTGGGAGGAGATGCCAGGAGTGATGTGAGGGCTGCTTGGCTGCAGCTTTTCCTGCCTCTGTGTGCTGTGCAGGAGGAGTTGGCAGCACTAACACAGGTAACAACTGCACAACTCCAGCCAAAGCCACACCTGGGGTGCGTCGAGCAGAGCCATCATATTCCAACCATGTGGAAAAGCAGGAGAGGTGATCAACTCCATCGAATCCTGCCAGCTGCAGTGAAATGGAGCTGGGAAGTCACTGCCCGTTTTTGTTATTGCCACTGGATGGCAACAGACGTTCGGCAGAGATCAGTGTGCAAACCACACACGCCCTTGCTGTGCTCCACCTCGTTATTCAGGGCCATGGCCATGGTATCAGCACGCCCAGCAGGCACACAGAGAGCTCCAGAGCCACAGGCTGGCACAGCAGCACAACCAGCAAGGCTGTTCCTGGGGGCAGGTGGAAGGCTGGGCTTTTCCTTTGCACAGCCTATGCCTTTCCTGCACTCAAAATCAATTTTTGTCTCGCCAGCTCAGAGCAAACTCTTCTGATGAGCAATGCAAAATAATTAATGCCATGGAGAGGGGTGAAAAATCACCTGGTGGGATTACAGTACCACACTGAAATAGTTAAGGCTTACATTGAAACTGATGGGCGACTGGTTTTAAATTCCATATACCTGGCTATGAGCTGGCCAAGGGCCACAGAAAGATCTGCAGTGGGGTTTCAAAAACACAGCCAGGTGTGTTGAACAGCTTCATTTGATCTTGTGTAACAAGTAAGTAATAGGAAATGATCAAGGCTTTTCTGATTTCTGTATTTAATAAGTACATAGTTGCATCTTGTTAGTTTTCTCTTAATGATAGATAACCATGACTAAGAATTCTCCAGTTAGTGAATGATGACTGTTCCTGCTTTGGGTGACATCACTGTGCTGCTCCTCTGCTGTGTGTCACTACCCCTTCTCCTCCTGTTCTCATCACTTTGGCTGAGTGTGGCCCATGCCAAATGCCTGCCAGGTGTCTCTGAGTTGGCACATGGTACAAATGTGATGCTGTGATGTCCAGCTCTGCCAAGACCTCAGCTTGATGCCATGAAAGCTGTCCCTGTCCCAGTGCTCTGCCACATCATTTCCCTGCCAGCCAATGTGTCTTGGGAGGACCCATGGGGATGCTCTGGTTCTGCCAAGCAGTTAACACATCCCTCAGTTCACCTCTGATAACTGATAAAGTGCTGCCTTTCATGTGGATTTCTTGTGAATTCTCCAAGTGAGGGACCAGCTCTCCTTTCCCAGGACAGAAGGAGGGCCCCATACACCACATTTAACATAACAATTTAAATATTGCCTGAATATAGCAACACACCCATGACTGGAAGGCATTGTAAACTGAATCCTACCATCATCCAAACTTTCTTATCTTGAACCCACCTTCCCATATCTAGAAATCAGCCTTTAAAAAGGTGCACAAGTTTTACCAACAATACTCTCAAGAGGCTCTATGTTTTTGTTTTCCTTGCCGTAGGCACCAGGGTGTCTTGAGAGCAAAAAAGCACATACTGAATTAGTCCTCTTTGCACCACCAAGCAGTAATTAGCTGTCTTGTAAGGAAAAGTGCCTGCCTCTACTGTCCTAGGGGAATAAAGATAGGGAACATGCACACAGGGACAAAGTCTGCTCATGCACACAGGGATTTTCTCTGACCACCCTATGAAAAAACTATGTTAGCATCACTTTAGGCAATGACAAAAATTGAGTCATGAAACTTAGCCAAAAAAAGTCTTATTATGATTGAGGGGTACTAAAAATTGTACATTTCCTGAAATCTCAAAATTGAACACTAGCTGTCCACATGATAGTCCCCAACTCCTTTCCCAAATCCAAGATCAAATTCTTAGTGTTCTGTCCAGAACAACACACAGACACACACTGGGATTGCAGAGACCCAACACTAGACTGAAGGAGTAGTGTTTAAATTTAATCAGCCCTACAACTTGTAGGATTTGGGCAGAAGCTTGTCTGTCCTTAAAAATAGGAATTTGCTAAGTGGGAAAAAAATGATTTGAGCTCAGACTATTTGTGAGGGAGATGAGATGCACAGCATGACACTGGGAGCTCTGAGAGTCTGCCAGGAAAACACATTTACAAGCAACAATCACGTTTCTCATTCAGACTATTAATGTCATTAGTGCATTACCACTCAGAATCAGTATTAACATATTTTGTTTGTGCTGCAGATATTGTAGCCCTCAGCACATCCTGCAAGTTCAGGCTGTCTCCTGATGAGACCTGAAAGGGTTTTAATTGTGTCACTTACACACACCTGCCACATCTCTGGGCCATCATGTGGGACACGCCTGCACAAACGTGGACAGAGGAAAAAGAGGCTCTTTAAGCAGGGTCTGGGGGGTTTCTTCCCCTCCTCCAATCTGTTTGCAAGGAAGCAGCAGCTCTTTGAGTTCCAAAAACAACACATCTGACAAGAGCAGTCACTGCCCTCCAGCCTAGCCAGGGGGGTGGCAGAGTAGGGCAGATGTGGGACACTCCCAGTGTCCCTCCTTCCCACACCAGCCTACAAAGCCAGGGCACACAAAGTGCTACTTAAACCTGGCATCTTGCAAATAATATTTTTTTTTTCGTGCTGTTTGTGACCCAAGCTCCTTACAGGCTATAGGGACCCTGGTAGTGCCAGCATGCCCCGTGGTGCTCAGAGTTCAGTCCAGACTAAAACATGGAGCTCTCCCTAAGGGTTTGATGGATCCTGTTAGACCACAGTGTCTGGACCTGGCTGGTTCTGTGCTGGCTTTGAAGGGATCCTTTGGGGAGGCAACTTAAGCTTACCTAGAAGTGTCCTACCCTTCCCCTCACACCACTGGATTCAGGAGGGGGACCTCAGAGGAGCACACAGGGTGTCCCCTAAGCCCTGCAGGGCTGGGATGAGCCACCCACTTCCCTGCACTGCAAGCATCCTCATTATTAAGGATGGAGGGCGTCAGCCACCAGGAGAAAGATTTGTTTAAACTGCACCAGCTTTGGTATCACAGATGCAGAGAATGGTTTGGGTTGGAAGTGACGTTAGATATTGTACAGTTCCAACCCCACGTCCACAGACAGGGACACCTTCCAGCAGACCAGGTTGCTCAAAGCCCCATCCAACCTGGCCTTGAACACTTCCAGAAACACCTGGACTCACCAAACCTAACTCCTCTCCTCCTCCAAGACGCTTTTTTTTTGATAAATGCATCCTCAAAATCTTTATCCTTAAACTTCTGAGAGGTGCAGGACAACATCCCTGACTGCACCCCTCCCCTGGGACAAAGCAAGTAGTATTTAAAAGGTAGGATGATCATTTCTTCCTCTTTGTCCTCCTGATACCTGCTGTACAAATCAGCCATATGGTTCTGCGGTTGCACCATCCTATAGCTGTGACTAAACCTAAAAATTCTTGCTGCTGGTATTTATTTGTTCCCTAAGAGGATGGGCAGGTCAGTGATGCAGTGTGGATTGTCACAGGCGTGCCCAGCTTCCACCTGAGGATGTCCTGTGCCAGCATCTCCCCCTGCTCCACACTTCACACCTCTGCCCTGCCAGGACCAGGCGCTTCTCCCTCCCCCTCCTCTCATCAGCGCTGCAAAAACCAACATGACATCTGCATTTACCTTTCTGCTTATTTAAAAACGGCAGTAGCAACGAAGCCAACGGACTTTTTTTGCCAAAGTCCTTGGAAGACACTTTACTTTGGTTAACAACAGTTTCTTCAATGGGTTTCTTCAGTTGTACTCTTTCCTTCAGCTCCTCGGTGCTGACGGCAGAGGTCGGGGGCTCAGCGCTTATTTTTGGCGCAACAAAGGAGCTTTTCAGGTAGGACGAGGACTCGGCCAGGTTTTCCCTGTTCATCCTGCTCTCTGCCAATTTACTGGCCTCGTAGTCTGAGGCGTCAGTGCGCGAGTTGTTCTCCTCCTTGATGATGTCCATGACCTTGGGCTTCATCAGGGGGGAGTCCTGCTCCCTCTTGGGGCTCTCCTCGGAGGCCGAGGAGGCATCGCAGGACTCGATGATGAGCTCGCTGTCCAGCTCCGCCTCCCGCTCCTCCCGCAGGATGCTGTACTGGATGGAGGGGGAGGCGGGCGACGGAGGCGGCCCGCCGATGTGGCCGAAGGTCGCGTAGTTGGAGTGCAGCACCTCCTCGGCAGCCAGGGGGTCCTCCGAGACCAGCTCGATCTCCGAGTCGCCGGACTCGGCGCTGCTGCCTTCGTGCTCGGCGGCGTGAGGGCGGGCGGGCCTGGCCCGCGGCTCGGCCGGAGCGGGCGGCGGGCGCGGCGGCTCCGCGGGCTCGAAGGAGAAGCGCTCGGCCTCCGCGATGGCGCCCATGAGCTCCTCCTCCGACAGGCTGCCCTTGCCCTGCGACTCCGAGCCCGACCGCTCTGCGAACGGGGGGGAAAAGAATAAAAAAGGGAAACAAGTTAATGGTCTTGTTTTCTAGCGGCTTGGATTTTTCATCTAATTACAGTAATTATATACTTATAGCACTGCAATATTTATATTACATAGTATCTATTATTATATATACTTATATATAATATAATATAATACTATACAATAATATACTATAATTAATACTGTAAATATACAATACTACCCAACTCATAAAACAATTCAAAAAATTAAATAATCTTATTTTCTAGCAGCTTAGATTTTTCATCTAATTACATATTTATATTAGTGTAATATTTATATTATAAATTATATATTATTATATATACTTATATATACTTATATATAATATATAATGCTATACAATAATACTATAATTATTACTGTAATTATACAGTACTACCCAACTCATAAAATAAAATAAAATAAAATAAAATAAAATAAAATAAAATAAAATAAAATAAAATAATGCAAAAAAGTTAATTATCTTATTTTCTAGCGGCTTAGTATTTTATCTAATTGTATACTTATATTACTGTAACATTTATATTATATACTATATTATTATATATACTTATATATAATATAATACTATACAATAATATAATACTATAATTAATACTGTAAATATACAATACTACCCAACTCAATAAAAATCTTTAAAAAATTTAATAATCTTATTTTCTAGCGGCTTAGATTTTTCTTCTAATTATATACGTATAATTCTGTAATATTTATATAGTATATATTATATATATTTATATATATGATATAATTATATAATACTATACGATAATATAGTAGTATAATTAATACTGTCATTATACAATATTAATTTTTTTATCTAATTATACAATACTACCCAACTCATAAAAAAAATTTTAAAATATTTAATAATCTTATTTTCTAGCAGCTTAGATTTTTCATCTAATTATATATTTATATTAGTGTAATATTTATATTATATAGTATATATTATTACATATACTTATATATACTTATATATATTATATAATAATATACAATAATATAATACTATAATTAATACTGTAATTATACAGTACTACCCAACTCAAAAAATAAAATAAAATAAAATAAAATAAAATATAATAATGCAAAAAAGTTAATTATCTTATTTTCTAGCGGCTTAATATTTTATCTAATTGTATACTTATATTACTGTAATATTTATATAGTATATATTATTATATGTACTTATATATAATATAATACTACCCAATAATATAATACTATAATTAATACTGTAAATATACAATACTACCCAACTCAAAAAAATTTTTTTAAAAAAAATTTAATAATCTTATTTTCTAGCGGCTTAGATTTTTCTTCTAATTATATATTTATATTACTGCAATATTTATATTGTATAGTATATATTATTATATATACCTATATATACTTATATATATTATATAATAATATACAATAATATAATACTATAATTAATACGCAACTCATTAAATTAAATTAAATTAAATTAAAAAATGGAAAAAAGTTAATTATCCTATTTTCTAGCGGCTTAGATTTTTTTGTCTAATTATATACTTATATTACTGTAATATTTATATTATATAGTATATATTATTATATATACTTATATATATTATATAATTATGTAATACTATAAAATGATATAGTACTATAATTAATACTGTCATTATACAATATTATTTTTTATCTAATTATACAATACTACCCAACTCATAACATTTTTTTAAAATTTAATAATCGTATTTTCTAGCCGCTTAGATTATTTTATCTAATTCTATACTATAATTATATCATATTATACAATAATAGAATACTATAATTAATACTGTAATTACACAATACTACCCAGCTCAGTTTCTTTTTTTTAATTTAATAAGTTTATTTTCTAGCAGCTTAGATTTTTTATGTAATTATATACTACAATTATATAATACTGTACAATAATATATTACTAATTAATATTATAATTATACAATATTCAATGTTTATTAATTATACAATAATACCCAACTCATAAAAGAAAATTTTAAAAACCCGACCTCTACTCTAAAACCTCCATCTTACTTTATATATGTTACTATATTCTAAAACCTTAAACTCTTAAGTTTTCTTCTATATAGAAATATATATAGTCTATATATATATTAGAAGATATATATATTATATTTATATATAAAGATATATTACATCCTTCTATTCAAACCGCACACCTATAATCTTAATTCCATCATTCAATTTTAAAAACTTTCCCCATAACCTCAAATCAAATGCATTATTCTCTTAAAAGTCAATACCTATCGACATAAAAAAAAAAAATCTAAAATTCTCAATAACCAAAATTCCAACAGGAACCGACAGAGCGGATTTCCCAGCAGTACATATCCCTCTAGCAGGGCACAAAGTCTCCCTGTGTGGGATGATTGACAGTAACAACAACTTGACCTTATACAGCATCTCCCATGCAGGTACTCATTCGAAAAGAAGCATCACTGACTGAAGAAAAAGCTGAGCTACAAGGCAATGCTGACCAGTGGCTCAACAATGTGATTTTTAACAGAAAAATCATCAATCGAGATGAGCATGGGCTCAGGACATGCATGAGAGCATCAGACTGTCACCAGCAATCTGTCCTGGGGACAAATACACACATGGGGATGCTGGGTTCTGCTGACCCAAACTTCAGCTTTCAGGTGTGGAAAATTTAAGATCAGAAACTTTTCTCTTTTTTTTTTTTCTTTCCTTTTTTGGTTTGTTGACTAATTAGGTTTTTTTTATTAATTTGGGGTTTGTTTTATTCTTAGGGTGTGGGTGGTGAATTCTCTCTGCTTTTAGCTCAGTTGGGTCCAAGGATGAAACTTATTTTTTTACTCTAATTCTTAATATCATTATGAAGTATATTAACAAAAATAATGACTGTCTCATCACCCAAAATTTGAAACAGAACAAAAATATTAACAATCTACTCTACGTTTTCTGACTGCAATTCCCCAGTCACATTGACACAGCCATCAAGTGCACATGGAAATTTGTCCTCTGGAATCCCAAGTGTTCATTCCCAGATTTAAAGTCATTATTAATGTGATGGGGTCACTAAGTGGCACTGCAGGTTGTGAGGAGTCAAGAAAAATAAATCCCCAAGTTTCCTCCAGCAGATGCTGGTGAAGTGGTCCATGACAGGACAGTGCCTGCAGGGCTGAATCCCACAGTGGAGTGGAGGAAAGTTTCCATCCCCGTGGTTGCAGATGACACAAAAACGCCCTTCTGCACCCCAGATTGTGGCCACAGAGAGGATTAAGGTGCTGGTGCTGTTACACCACACTCCTGTCTGGATGCTGGGAATTTTCTGGTGCATTGGGAGCTCCTGCATCCTCCTGTGGCTGCAGGAAGCTGTGCCAGCGTTCTCTCCCAGAGCCAGCCTGAACCCGGCACGGGTCCAAGCTGGCATGGGACTGGCAGCCCTGGTAGCACAGCAACGCGCTGGCCCTGGGCTTCACCCTGCTCCTCCCTGTGCTGGCAGAGTGCAGCTCCCAGCCCTGCATTCACCTTGTGAATAAAACAGTCCTTTGTGGCCAGCAGCGGGGTGTCACATTCGCTGCTGGCACTGGGAAGTGGGTAAATACCCACGGCCTTTCAGCGCAGCACAGACAGACCATGCCTTCCTTCCCCAGAAAGATGAGGGCCAGAGATTAAAAGCATTTTCAAAAGTCTTGATCCAAGCAGAGAGTGACTGGCAGCTTTGCCAGAATGCTCGAGGGGTACCTAGGAGCCATGACTTTGCTGGGTCACTGCCTGGGAATAGCAAGGGCGGTTTTAAATTTCTTCATCACTTATGAATGTGGGAGCTGGGCATGGGACATTCCCAGCTGCAGGAAAGGGGGGAAAATCCAGAGGAAACACCCCTTGGGAGCCAGCCTCTAGAAGAAGATGCCTTCTTCTTTCCTTAACACGATGGACAAGCAGTTTTGATGGGATACAGATAGCCAGCATCCCCAAGGCAGCCTCGAACATCACCAGGACTGAATAAGTAACAGTGCCTGAAGGCCTTAACTTGTAGCAAAAAGTGTAAATCGATGAACAGTGGCACAACTCGGGAGCAGTGTGTGATTTCACTCAGTCAAATAAAAGAAGAAAAATGTGGCTCTAAAGTCTATTTATTAAAGTTTCTGGCTGATGCAGGCAGAATAAATTCATGGCTGTGGTGGACTCTATCTCCTTTCCCTATGTGGAAGTGTACAAATGCTCCCTCACTTTTCTGTAGGAATGAAATATTCCTCCAAGGGGAGGTATTAGTGTAGGTGCCAGACTGCCATTTTAAGGAAATTCTAGTTGTTTGGGGGTTTTTTTGTTCTTTTTTTTGTTTGTTTGTTTGTTTTGGTTTGGTTTGTTTTTTTTTAATGCTTCTAAATAAAATTGAAGCAATGGAAGTTTCAGCTAGGGGATATTCATTGTCAAATGTTTACTGTTAAAGGATTTTGATCCAGGACACTGAAATTTAATTTTCAGTCTAAAAATATGGTTTTCTGTCACTGAACACAGAAGGAAAAATGTATAAACATGGGGTTTTGGTAACCCCTCAATTGCAGTCTGGAGTCTTTTAAAGAGGCTGGCCCTTTGTCCCTCCAGTCCCCTTTGTAAATGAGGTGACAGCATTTCTCTCCACAGCACTTTATAAAATCAGCACTTTGACATGAAAACAGCACTGATTTTTAACAACTTAACCTTATTTTCTGCAAGGGCAAAGAGATGCTAATCCAGCCATTAAAATTTTCATGAAATCAACCCAGTCAGTTGCATTGCCCTGATCCCACACATCTCATTTCCCTTGGGGAATCAGGGCAGCCAGGGTGACCAAGAGACCCACAAACCACCAGGATCCATCTCAAACTATGGCCTAGATGAAGATGCCCATAGGGACGCTGCTTCCCCTCGAGGAGAGATCCCTGAGGATCTCAGCAGGCCTGGATCCCTTTCCATGCAGCAAGGGCAGCCCATCCTGAGCAGCGTGTCGTGATGGGGAGCACAGTTTGCCTCCTGTTGGAATCTGTGGTATTGATGATTCTGAGATTGTAGAAAGTCTCTGTCTTTCTGCCCCACTGCCAAAGAAGAAGCCAAAATTGGTCTGTGCTGTTTCAAGGTTGTTTATTCTGTTTATCTCTAACATGTTCTGCTGCCCTGCCGCAGCTCTGTCCTGCAGGGCAGCGTGTGGGGCTCTGCCCTCAGTGGGATGGTACAAACATTAAATACCACAAACTACCTGTGCTGGATTTACAATAACGTGCCAATATTTGTCACCTACGTTGAACAGTGTGTCCCCAGCCTGAACCAACAGAAAAATGCCAACACTACAGTGAAACATGGATGGCATGAAGAAGGAGAAAAAGGACAAAACACACCCAATTTCCTCCATCTTGTCCCCTCTGAACCCCTAATCTACAAACCTAAAATTTTACTTTTGCACCCATGCCACACTTCATTATTACTTATATCAAACACTCAGAGCTTGTGATTCATCCTGTAAGATTGAAAACTCTTTTCCATGGACAGAGATCACAGACAGTGTCTCTGGGGGCTCTGTCCAGGGGGGTTCCTGACCCCTGCCAGGGTCCCAGACCTGCCAGGGCAGCCAGAGGGAAGCTCTGGATTCCCACAGCCTCTCCCTTCCCTTTGGCTACACAAACTGGTGCCAGAGGAGAGCACAAACACCTCCAGCCATGGAGACTTGTCAGTGGCCTCCCACACCCTGTTAAACTCACCCCAAAACTCCATGGCAATTCTCCAATGTGGTGGGTACAATTGCAACCACTTCTTGAGCAGCAAAACCCTCAGTGCCCTGCACCAACACCAGCATTACCTGTGCCAGAGGAGGGTGGTGTGACAGATCCTGGGCTGTCATCCTCTGGTTCTGACACCGTCACCGTTGGCACCACCTCATGGCTCGGCTTCAGGCCGGTGTCCGGCTGAGTCGGGCTCGGCTCTCTGCTGGCGGCTTCCTTGGTGCTTTCTGTCTCAGTGAGCGTGATCTTGACAGGGGTTGTAGCCACAGAGGGACTGTGCTGACCCCCAGACTTTCTGTCTTCCAGCAGGTCTTGTTCCTTGGCTGCCTTTGTGCTCTCCGAAGGCGTCCGTGGAGGCTCAGCGGCGTGGCTGGACCCCGCGGGTGTTCCCCGGTACTTATCACTAAGGCCTGGGCTCTCATCTTCTGAGTCAGAGTCGTGTGTTTCTTGGTACTTTATTTCTTCTGATCTACTCATGTCCATGTATTTGTAAGCTTCTACTTTCATGGGATCTGCTAAGGTTTTGTCGACTTCAGTAGACTCTGCAGGAGTCATCTCTATTCCCGAGTCTGAGCTAAACAAGCCACGGGACTCAAATCCAGTCACGTCTTGAACAGGATGGCCCAGAGCATTAAACCCCTCCGTGCTGCCCGAGCAGGGAATGGGGGTGTTTTCCTGCTGATAGATGCCTGTGAAATAGGTGGAGTCCCTCGGGGTGGTGTAGTGGACATCGGAGATCAGGGAGGTGTAGAAGGAGTTGTCCCCTCCGTTGGCAGTGGAGCCGTAGTCGAAGAGATGTGACGAGCCTGTGACACCTGGAGCAAACACACAAAACCACAGAGGCACAGTAAGACACAAGTGCCTGCATGATTTCTGTATGAAGCTTTCTGCAAAGCCACACTCACCCCCTGCTGACTTTAGATTTGGTTTGTGAACCAGACTTGACTTTGCTTGCAAGCTCTTGGGAACTGTCTCTTTCTGTACCTTTGGGCAATATAATGGCACATCTGTCACATGAGGCTTCCAGCTGCTGTTCCATCTTAAAATAGCTATAAAGATCCTGATAGTAATTAAGTATTCCTGGCCAATGTTTGCCCAGCCTGTAAATAAATACTTCCTGTGATTGCAACCTCACAACATCCCTCACAATCCAACCCAGGGGCTCAGCACCCAATATGCTTAAAAGAAATCTAATGTCCAATACTAAACCATTATTTCTGTTTAAATACATAGAACTGGAGGAATTCCCTCCTAAGGAAACTTTCCATTATGAAAAAAAAAATCTGCCGGACAGACATTGAGAGGGAAAATTGACAAGCAGATTTAGATTTACATTTTCTCTTAAGAGTAGCCACCCTAAATTTGTGAAACGCCAAGGCAGAGACTCAACATCTTCATTTAGTGATTTCCACATGTTCAGAAAGCTGTAGCCCATGTGCATCATCTAGAAATCATGCTGGCATGAAGGTGGTTAAACCCATGCATCATTTTCATGCACTGCCTCTAATTCCCTCTGCCAGGCTCTCGGTTCCTGGGGATGCTGCTAATTAAATTAGAAACAGCGGCCACTCTCCCTCTGCAGCATCCATACAAAGCACAGCTCGAGGACAGGAACAGCGAGATACCCCACGAGGGAGGCAGGAGAGAGGATTTCTGTGAGGGCTGAGGGAATGGGGAGAGGAGGAACAAAGCCAGTGTCTGTAGGAGCTGGTGCCTATGGGAGGGAGCAGCCTGTTAACCCCTTGTGTGCTGAAGCATCACAGGGGCTTGGCTGGTTTTCTCCGACCTCTGCTCGTCACCTGCAAGGGATGTGAGGCTCCTGAGCTGCTCCACACGTGCCTGGGCTACCACACACAGTGCAGACTTCATCACAACACTAAAGGGACATTGCTGTAGCTGCAAAGCCAGAAGCTGGAAAATATCCATACAGAAGATCCCAAGCTACTTGCATTTGAGTATTTCCTTCCTCCTTGCACACACAGAGACTGATGCCATCTCTAAACACCACCACAACTGCTTTTCCCCACAGCCCTCCATGCGTCAGGCATGTGCAGCTCATTTAGCAAGCCCTGAAGCATTATTTTCTACCCTGTAATACTTCAGAGTTGTAGCTGAAGGCTTTATTTTACTGCACAACCTCACTGGATTTGACACACACACCCCCCCCCCAAGCCCTGCACAAAGGCAGAGTGATCATTTCCCTCATCTTGTTTCTGCATTGTTCAGAGTTGTGATGTCTTACAAGCAATTTCTTTTCCTCTAGGCTGGGAACAACATGTTCCTCCCATTACAAGGGAAAATCTGGTAGCATAGGGAAAAAGCAGCCCAAAAGTGCCACTCCTTGTTTTTCAGCCGACCTGTGCTACCTGCTCCTGTGTCCCCATCCTGCTACACACGATGCAGGCAGCAGCTCCATCCTCACAGCCAGGGATTTGTAGCAGCCTTTGCCACAGGAGAGCACAGAATAAGGGGTGCTGCAGCCAGCAGGTGGAAAATCACCCATCCCCAGTAATTCCCAGCCTTCAGCTGGGTGTTCTCACTGCTTTGTAGCACTGCATAGAACTTTTCATAGAGACATTTTAGCATCAAGGCAAGCTCTTGCCTAAGAATGGTGAGGGTCACTGTGCAGATGTGGGCTTGGGGCTTATTTCCCTCTCTCTATCTATGCACCTTTACATTTACCTACTCCAAATTTCATCTTCTATTTTCCTGCCAGCTCACTCAGGGCTGCAAGATGCTTTTGTAACTTGCTGCAGGCAGATCCCATCCTCACTGCTCCCAATAACTCGGTCCCAACAGCAAAGCTACATGAGAATGAAGCCTAAGTGGAAAACCACTGTAAAAGCAAAGCAGAATAAGGGATAAACTGGGCTGCCCAACATCCAGGTTCTACCTGAGGTCATCCAGTGCCTTGCAACGACAGCTCATACCCAGAACACATTCCTAAAAGAGCAGTAAGCAAAAAGGGAAAGGTTCTATTCCTTGCCAGTGCTCTTCTTGCTGAACTTGCCTTTCTGAAAATTATCCATGAACAGGCTTGGATTTTCACAAATGTGCTGGTTAGCTGGAATTATCTGATGCATTGTTTATGCCAACATATTCCAGACAGCAAATTGCTGACTACAGACTATTCATGCCTGTTGCTGCCAGTATCTGCTGTTTGTAATTTACTATTTGTGCTGGGTGAGTGTCTGTCTGAATCACAGGGTTTCAGGGCTGCTCTTTCACTAGATGCTTCCTCAGTGCCTCCTGGACCTGATCCAAAGCCCACTGAATCCACTAGAAAAGTCCCACTGACCTCGAGTGGCTGTGGACCAGCTCAAGGTGGCTGTGGAATACTTACATGAGGAACACACTACCACAACACCATCAGAGGGCAAAAATCCATTCCTACCAACATCCCACTATTGCTAGGAGAGAGGGAGCACAAACAGAGTCGAAGGAGATTGAAACCACTGCCAAAGCAATATTCACAGATGCTGTTCACAGCTTTCATTGGTGCTTTGTCCACAGTGCATGGCAGCCAGAGGCACAAGCATTTGCAGCTCTTAGCAATGCTGATCAATAGAGCAGTGAGAGGGTTTCTAATGCATTCATGTCAGGTGCTTCATAGCAGGAGTTATAGCCAGAGCAGCTCACAGGAGGGATAAAGTGAGCTCACAGTGATAAAGAGAGGTTGAGAAAATACCATCCTATTCTTTAGGTTATTCCTTAGCAGAAAGAAAAATAACCCTGAAGTAGTCATCAACACAAACATCACATTTTCAAGTAGTACAAACCTGGTACTGTAGTAGATGTTAACACATGAGCTGATTTAGAATGGAATCACTGTCAATCATAAACCCTTTTGTTTTTTTCTGCAGCAGCTTTGCAAATAAAAATGAAACCAGAAAATGCATTTCCTACTGGGGTTGAGGAGGAGAGAGAGTTACAGGGTATGTGAGCAAAGGGAGGGTTCACATTAGCAGGACATATGGGGATCCCAGCTCTCAAGGCGACAGCAGAATCAAAAGCACTGAAGACAGCTGAAATTGCCTAATTAATAGGATTTAATGTAACTCCCTATTTCCACTGGGATTGATTTAAAGCCATTGCCAAAACTGCCTCTCATTTGGGAAGTGTGAATCTCTCAGCTATTAGACTGGCTATTAAAGACATGGAAACTGATAATAGCTGAGCAGATTTTTGCTGAAGAATAGTGTACTCAGAGCCTGCTGATTAAGCAATGCCCTCTCTGACTTTAAGTTTATTTGGTTCAATATCCGTGGGAAGGAAAAGCCTTGAATAGCACCGGTAACAGATGACAGTATCAGGTCTGAATTTATCCTTGTAACAAAGGTTGGGTTTTTAGGTTTTTTTTTATCTGGATTTCACTCAAAACTGCCCAAAAACTTGCCTGGCAATTCAGGTGAAGGAAAGCTATTCAGTTCCTGAGAGCAGCAGTTGTGCATTCTCGTAACATGAGCCCTCAGGAAATAATTTCACTTCCTACAACCAGCTAAGAAGTAATGGGTCTGATTCAATCACTCCAGCCCAGCTGAGATGCTCAGCAAGTTACATGTGTTTTCATCAACTGCAAAGGAAAAAAAAAAATTGGAAAATGACTGTTTTGTTTGCTCAGAATAAGTGAATACTCCAGAAATCCTCTCCTGTGGAACTGGATTTAGAGCTATTTAGCAATTGACACAGGAAATAATTTAGAAATCATCAGTTCCATGCAGAATAGCTCTTAATTCAAGAAAGGCAGCTGAAGACCAATTTGGATCAAGGCAAGCTGCTCTGCTGCAGCACACTGGAATAGGGAACAAAAAGTTAGCTGAGGATCACAGTCAAAAAAAGAGAGCAGATTTAAATAAAAAGGATTCCTTTTTTTCCCCAACTAGAGTATTTTTGGCCTTATTAAAATTGATCACTTAAGAATATTGTGCTCAACTTTCAAGAAAATAACCTTATTTCGTATTAACCTGTCAAGCTTCACATGCAGCTCTGGTGAGACTGTCAGACTGACATTTGAGGGAGCTGGTCTAGTGGAAGGTGTCCCTGACTACAGCAGAAAGGTTGGAACAAGATGAGCTTTAAGGTCCCTTTCAACTCAAACCATTCCATGATTCTGTGGTGTGAAATTTCAGTTCTTCAAAACAGCTGACAACCCCTCAATGCAAAGTTATGTATTTATTGCATGTCACCAATTTGCTCAAAATTAATGATTTTTCAGAAGAAAAGAGGGGAGAACTAATCTTTAAGTAGGTGATGCAGTTTCTACAGCCTGGAGCTGTGCAGAGAAGACAAAATCTTTTTGGCTGCAAAGGGAGGAATCAAAGTTTCAGTGACCTTTTCAGACAAAAGCAGAATAGTGGGAACAAGCAGCTTCCAGCAAAGTCCTGTAAGTCTTTTAAACAGTTGGCTCTGACTTTTTGCTTTGGATATTGAGCTTCAGGAGTCACTACTGGCTACTCCAGTGCTGCAGAGATGAAAGCTCCCAGAAGCAGGGTCTTCCCAGCTCTTTCCCTTGCCCACCCTGTCCCATTTCAACAATCCCTGACCTGTAGTAATTAATCAATTAGAGATATAATTTCATTTTGATCACTCAGCCATGATCATTAGGAAAATGTATCTTTCTGCTTTCTTCCAAATGCACAACAAAAGTAGGTATTAAACAGTCCTACCTTTGTTTTCTGTACCAGATTTACAATTTTGTCATCAACTACTACTAAAAAGCCTTAGCTTGACCTTGGCTTCTTTTTATTCTTCACACTTGAAAATGAGGGGAAAAAGGGAAATAATTTTTCCTGTTTTTTGACCCTGATACATGATG